CCGGATCCTCTCCCAATTGTCGGTCCTCTACCTGGCCTACGAAAGAGGGCCCGCTTCGATGCCGTAACCTCAATTATATTATTCGTGTACCTTCCACCGTCATGGTGAGGAGATACTGACCCCACGCGATTACGGCATGTAGAGCCAGCGGCGCGCCGCCAGTGGCGTGGCGTCCACGCCCCTCTCGGGCCCGACAACGCGACTTATCTCCGTTCAGACGACCACGTCCCAATAAAAGGCGTATCGATGGTACCTCATTGGTTAAGAAAGCCATCGTGCGAATCCAACCCCCCCCCCCCCCTCACGTCAACCCCGAGAGGGGACTTTCATGTTGAATTCAAGGACTGGCCCTCCGAGCCAGAGCATGGAAAAGGACGAGAACCGCCGCGCCTAGCCGGGCTCTAGCACCAAGACAATAAAAGAAAAAGTGACACAGCTAGGTTCTTTCAATTTACACAATTTGCAATGCTAATGCTCACCGATGCCCAGGTGCGGATTGACATGGTTGTGGGGGCCATACCCAGCCCACCGGTTGCTATTGAGTGCCCAAAAGTCATGGTTGGTACTAAACTGGTTTGCTTGAATTTTCAGAAAAATTGAAAGTCATGTTGATCTTAATGTTTGTGTTCTCAACTTTTAAGTCATTGGTTTGGGTGAATGAAAGATTCTTTTTAAAAAAAACTCAGTGTTTATTAAACACTTAGCAACAGGCTTACAAAATCAAGGGTGATAATTTAGCAATAAAAAGTGCAGGATAAATTTCATAAAGGCCTCAAAAAAGAAACAAACTGGGAAATACTTGCTATAAAATTAGAAGTCACAAACAGCATAACACGTGCACAATTTAACAGTTTCAGAAATGGTAACAACATCTATTTGTACATTGTGGAATGATAGTTAAATGAACATTTACAACTTTAGAACATCCTGGGCTGCTTTCACAACATGCTTTGAGCTAATGCCGAACATGTCAAGAAGAAGGTCTGAGGGGCCAGACCGGGGAACACGGGGAACAGCCAACTTACGAACAATGATGTCACGCTGCTCAGCGACTGCAGACAAAACAGCCTCTCCAAGACCACCCTCAGGGTAGTGGTCTTCAACAGTAACAATGCGACCACCGCATTCCTTGGCATTCTGGACGATGGTCTGAGCGTCAAGGGGCTTGATGGTGAAGGGATCAATGACACGTGCACTGATACCAGCCTTAGCCAACTCATCAGCAGCCTTCAAAGCTTCATAAAGGGTGACACCAGCACCAATCAACAGAACCTGATCCTTGGCACTCTTCTTGACCACCTTGGCTTTGCCGACTGCGAAAGGCTCATTGTTTTCATAGATGACAGCGGTCTTGGGGCGAGATGTACGCACAAAGCAGATGCCAGTTGTCTGGGCAGCCAATTCAATGGCACGTTCAGTACTCACAGCATCAGATGGGTAGAAGACAGTGGCAGTGGGGACAGCACGGAACATCGCAATATCTTCCAAAGCCATCTGGCTGGGACCATCCTCACCAATACTGACACCACAGTGGGAACCAACAAAGTTGCAGTTGGTCTGAGAAATGGCGCCCATACGAATCTGATCAAAGGCACGGGTGAAGAAAGTAGCAAAAGTAGACACGAAAGGAATGACACGGCCACGGCAACCAGCACCGATACCGACTCCAACCAGATTCTGCTCAGCAATGAAACATTCAATGTACTGAGCTGGGTTCTGAAGCTTGAGCTTCTCAGAGTAAGTTGAGTTCTTGGTGTCACCATCAAGAGCAATGACTCGAGGGTTGTCCTTGCCAATCTTGGTAATAGCTGTACCATAGGCCTCACGAGTGGCAATAGCATCACCAAGTTTGTATGCAGGGGGGGAGGAAAGCTTGACTGCCAGGTTGACTGCAGGGGCATCGTCCTTCAATGGTTTCTGGGGCTTGAGCAGAGCAGCGCCAGTGTTCTTGATCTGCTTCTGAACATGTGCGATGACTGCGTCGGTCTTGGCACCCAGTACGGTACCGTGCCACTTCTCCTTGTCTTCAATTTCGGGGAAGCCCTTGCCCTTCAAGGTCTTGGCAAGCAGGATGGTGGGCTTGTCCTTGGTGCTGGCAGCTTCATGGAAAGCCTTGGCGACCTCCTCAACATCATGTCCATCAATAACCAGGGAGTTGAAGCCAAAAGCCTCAGAGCGCTTCCTGTAGGTCTCCATGTTGTGCTGGAGGCAAGTGGGCTCGGACTGTCCAAGACGGTTGACATCAAAAATGACACACAAGTTGTCAAGCTTGTAGTGACCAGCGAAATTCATGGCCTCCCAGACAGATCCCTCTGCGCTCTCACCATCACCAAGCAAAACGTAAACTCTGTAGGAAGCCTTGTCAATGTACTTGCCAACATAGGCCATTCCACAGGCAATGGACAGACCCTGTCCAAGAGATCCAGTGCCTACATCAACAAAGCTCAGACGGGGAGTAGGGTGACCCTCCAAATCACTGTCGATCTTGCGAAGGTTCATCAGCTCCTCAACGGGGAAAAGCCCAGCTTCAGCCCAGGCAGCGTACAGGATGGGAGCAGAGTGGCCCTTGGAGAGGATGAATCGGTCGCTGGAGGCATCGCGGGGGGCGGACACCTTGTACCTCATGGTGTGGAAGAAGAGCACCGACATGATCTCGGCCATGGAGGCGCATGAGGTGGGGTGTCCTGACTTGGTGACATTGGTGGATGTGATGGAGTGGATGCGGAGTTTGTTGGCAAGGTCCTTCAGCTCCTACAATCACACGCAAACCAGAATGCCAAGTCAGTGGAGAACATGATGAGCGAAACCAGAACGCGCGGTAGCCGACAGCAAGGTGCAAAGTGGTGCAACTGCAGGTGGTTTCGATTGAAAGAAAAGAACAACAGATTGAGACATTGGCACATACCTGCAGGGTCTTGGACTCGAGTTTGTGGTAGTTGGACATGGTGATGTTTTCCTTGAATGGACTGGACTTGCAGCTTTAACCTCCGCGATCAGAGGGACACCGGCGAGTGAGGCAGAGTCGAGAGCAGCGGGCACGGTCCTCAAGTTCACAGAGCGGCTTGCAAGTGTGAGCCGTCTTCAAAATGACAGCGACAGATCTAGCTATCCTTCTCCCACGTGAGTGCTTCAACGTGACTGAGAGAGAGGCCAGATTGGTTTACTTATATGCATCCTTGCAAGGTGGTTTCGGGCTGATCAACCTGACAAAAAAAAAACAGCAGAACCGCTTCCTGGAAGTTAACCTTTGATTTTTCTGGAATTTTTATGAAAAGTGTAAATTTTATTACGTTAAATTTTCGGATTATATCAAATGAAAATAAAAAATACTGAAATATTTATACCAGATCATTTAATGAAGACCAGTTATTCTGAAGATGTCAACCCTGTAGTTGAAAAAACAGATAGAGGGCGCTCCCTTCCCGCGCTAAGCCAGCTGACTCGAATCGCTTCAAAGTTCGCCGTTTGGTTCATCATGCATGATCGCGCATGACGAAGCAGCCATGACCTTGCACTTGCTTCCCAATCTTTCAGGTACCGTAGGGATTCTTTACTCCACATTATGCAGAGGCGATAACAGCTATAAAGCTGAGACATATATCGACGGGTTGGAGTAATCAATCCGCCCTTCTAGATATAGAACATTATCAAGATTTTGAGTCTATTTTCTTGCCGAGGTCTTTGAAATGAATTCATAGGAAATTTACTCAGTTGATTGTATTAGTGACTTGTGTTAGTAAGTGACTCGGAGAGGTGTGTTTAAAAGGTCACATACAGGTATTTTTAATAAACATATATATTATCTTTGAAAATAAAATACACATTGTTACAACTTGTGGAAATAAATACACTTCAACCATCTCATAAAGAACTGATTGTGAGAGACTGCACAAAATGACTGGTATCATTGATTCACAAAAAAAAGAGAAAGAAAGAAAGAAACGGCTGGTGCGAATACCATTCATATAGCTAGAAAACAAGCATAACCACACATATGAAATCCTGACAAACAACATGCAGTGCAGTGCCTGTGAAATCATTCCTAGCAACATCCGATTCAATTTCCTTACTGTGTTTTTACATAAGATATTTTTTAAATGATACTGACAAGTGAAACACAGCAAGGAATCTCAACAAACCACACACATTCACGTTGTTGCTGCATAACAAACAAGTAATTCAGCACACAAAAAACCGTGAAATCACAAAAAGGAGAAACATTCACTGGCATATCATAAATGTTATGAAACACTCTTTGCAAATCCAACATTTAAACTTGGTAAGTTTCACTAACAATAAGGTTCCGTCATCTTCCTTTGGTTTTCAAGATACATGCTGCAATACAAATGTCAACGTGCATGTGCAAATCACACCTACTGTACATCAAATCTTAATCAACAATCACACACAATTCCGTTCAATATACAGCCATATGATACTACAGTAATACCATCAAAATGGCTGAAAAATGGGTGCTTGGAGATCTCAGAAGTATAATATTCCTCCTCTATGAAACACAAATTTAAATAAACAATAATAATGACTCCTACAAATTTATAAGGCACTTGGAATATTTATGAAATCATTTCATAGGAAAGTGCTTTTAATTAAAACACACAATATAACAACAAAACATTTTGAAGTAACAATATTATAACATAACATAATACTACTTTGTTGCTAACTAATTACATTTGTGGGTAAGGAATGGACACAGACTTCAATATTCACCAACTGAATGATTAACGTGGTGTAGAAATCCATGGAACATCAATGACTGACAAGATCATATTACAATGCACTCAAATTAATTGATAAATGTCTGTACTGCACTCTGCCAAGCAAAAATAGTGTAACAATTCCATAAAAAACTATGAGAGCTTTTCCTGAGGATAATTATGCAATGAAGCAAAACACAAGCATTTAAATGGAAGAAAGAGCGTACACACTGATTAAGTAAAACAGTTTGATAGGTTTGAATGAGATTTTTTTGACAGCATGAAGGGTAATACTTTGAAGAAGTTATGATTGACTGGGATTCTGTCAAATATTGAAAGCAAAGACAGTAGGTCACTTTCCAAAACACAATGTACGTACAAGTAATTAGGAAGTCATGCAAAGACAAATCAGTCAAATGAGAGGTGCTTATGAAAATATCATAAATATATCTTTCTTTCATGTTGCGGCCACATGCATGTATCGCAATCACAAGTATAAAATTTAAAATGAAATTTACATGTATAAATTCTTTGCTATGTCCCATTTTCCCCATGAATATTTAAAACATTTACTCTTACATATATATATATATGGATATAATCAATAATAAAATACAACTATGTGGCCAGCTGAAGGCCTAGTTGATGATAACCTTGTCCAATTTGGCCAAAATTTAAGAGAAACAAAGATATAAGGTTAAAATTAAGATGGAACGGATCAATCACATGGATGTCCACGAATAAAAGATTATTATCACAATGCTAATGCTCATCTGTTCAAAAGGTAAACATAACAACCCAAATAGGAGACTTTTGAGGCAAGGCCTTAATGAGAACATTTTAACAGCTTTCAGGAAAAAAATAATTCAAGTTTGCATGAGCAAACTTTCAAAGGTTCAAAACTGGCCCCATGTATGGATAATACCCAAATTAGAATTGCACACCACCAATCTCATGACAAATTCAATCAGCAAAATTTCAAAAGCATGATAAATTTGAGAGAAAAACTAACAAAAACTGAGTTGAACGGTATTGATTAATATTCAATACTAAAATTAAGGTAAGATAGACTGGAGGATAAGTCTACATACTGCAAGCAGTTATTGACAGAGAAATGATAACTTAACTATAAAAAAAGGGGGATTGCACAACAATTGAAAATAATATTGATCAATATAGTGTAATTAATTCGAAGATAGATAAAAACTGATATCTATTTCAAGCTTAAATCAGGTTCTGTGTCAAACAGCCTCAAATACATTTGCACAAACTTATTCAATTACTTGACTCAAATTATCTAAATTTAGATGCATGTGTGGTAATCCTTAACACACTACCTTTCACATATATAGAACAAAAGTATAGATACAAAAGTTCTCACTAGATTTTTACTGAGCCAGTTCTAATCCAGCCTTCATTGAGAAATTATCAGGCTCTTCATGATTCTCTGATGATTCATCAATTTCTAATTTAAGTGGGTCACTATCAGCATCATCCTCTTCGTCCATTTGTCTTCGATTATCTATTTCTTCATCATGGCCCATGAGTATTACGTCATCTTGTTGACCTGACGATGACCCTCCATGATGATTTTCTTTGTGTTTTTCTAAGAAATATCGACGCTGGAATGATATTCCACAAACATCACACTTGAAAGGGTTTTCAACATTGTGCCTTCGCATGTGGTAATCTAGGGATTGCTTCTGAGTAAAAGCTTGGCCACATATATCACACCTGAAAATGAAAAGTGTCACAGTGGTTACTAGGCACATCCTTAGTGCGGCAGCTCTCACTCAAAATTTTTTGGATACAGTACATATGTAACAGCAATAAATAACTAACCTGTATGGTTTAGTGCCATTATGAATTCGAGAGTGAACATTTAAGATTGACTTAGAGGCAAATGCTTTTTCACAAACATTACAAGTAAATGGTTTCTCTCCTTGATGTGTACTTAAATGACGTTTAAAATCAACAAATATATCGAATTCCAGATTACACTTGTCACATTTAAAGCTTTGTGATTTAAGGGGTTGCTCTCCATGTTGCTTTCTGATATGCAATCCATAGCTACTTTTGTAAGCAAATGATTTGTTACAAATCTCACACTCATACGGCTTGTTTCCAGTGTGTAATGTGTAATGAGAACTCAAACGCTCCTGCAATAAAGGAAAAGTAAGTGCGGTTTTACTGTTATAATAATCGCACGTAACTGAATGGCTCTTAGGTCAAGGTTTTTAATTACCTTTGTTGGGAAAGAACGCTCACACTGGTCACATGGGAAGGCTTTCTCTATATTATGATGTTTCAGATGGTTTTGAAGCTGTCTACTAGTTTGAAAAACGTCAGGACAAAATTCACATTTTAGTGGCTGCAATTCCCCAGTGTGACGCTGTTTGTGTTTGATAAAGCTCTTGTAATATGAAAAGCTTTCTGGGCAAACATCACACTTGAAAGGCTTATCAAGGAAAGAACCATCAAGGCTTGATGCTGCTGCTGCTGTTTTTGTCCTAACTGCTGTCATCTGCATAAAAACATTTAAGAATAAAAAATAATAAAAACACAAATCACAGTCAAGGAAGTATACAGAATCAATCAAAATCTAAAAATTAGCCTTTCTTGCCTGTTTGATGAGTTCAAGAGCTCTTTCACGATCCCTTGAATTTTTGCCTGCAAGTGGTCCACGCCGATGCGGTCCAGGTTGAAGTGGGGGAAGTTGAGTGTTGTCGCCCAGAACAGGATACAGAATATGCCCCCGGACATTGACAGCCGAGTTGGCATGTGCATGAAGATCTCTGCAATTTATAAATTAATATCACAACTGCCCTATTAAGAGATAGAATGTGTGCTTACAAATGAATTCTACACTAAAAACGTACGGTTCTGATGTGTCATCACCCATTAACATAAAAGGGTCTATTTGAACCTCTAAATTTTCTGTCTCATCTCCTGGCTGAAAAGATACACAGATAATTATTTAAAAGAACACTGCTGGAGATCTGAACAAAATTGAAAAGAGCAGTGCAGTAAGTTGACTCACTGATTCATTGCAATCTTCTCCATTTCCATCATCATACTCTGATTTCATATTGTCACCATTGTCTACGAGAGTGTCAACTTCATGTTCCCAGTTTGACCCATTTTCATTGGTATCTGCTTCCTGTTTGATTGGTACTGCAGAAATTGTGAGGCCTGGCCCTAACTTGCTCTCAATAAAAGATGAGCTTCCGTTAGCATACTTTGTCACAGGTGTAATGCTCAGGGCATCACTAACTGATGATCTCTGAAATGGAATGGTGAAAATAACTGAAAAGGAAAGGATTGACGTTTGGGATTTTAATCATTTAATATTTAATATTTGCTCACCTGCATTTCAGAGAAGTCACGCTTGACTCTTTTGTAACTACGGACTGATTCAGCGGGCTCTGCCCGAGATATTGTAACACCTTTTCTCAATCTCTCATCCCGTATTCTAGCATCTGACCGTAAACACATGATGCGAAATGAGTAAAATCTTTTTACTTTCAGGCGGCAAGCTGTGCAAATCTTGTCTGAGGGTGCAACCTGTTGAAGAAAAAATTTAAGAAAAGTTTACAAATTGTCAGTCATAAGATAAATACATAATAAAAAAGTTTGTCAGACAATGACATAAATATGTCAGTCCATTGAATTGAGAGGAAAAGGTAGATTGCAGCCATTGTCAGTATGGCGAAAAACAGTTTTCTAAATAAGCTTAACAAAGTATATCCTGTATTACAACCCTCAGCAACCCCATTCCATTATCAGCAACCTGTTGCATTTTCATCAAAAGAAATTTTAGACAGTCAGAACTTACTTCACAATAGTTAAAAGGAGTGGAAAGTGAGAGTGCATGAAGGTATAGCTCAAAATTTCGACAGTGAACTAGGGGTTATTTCCACTGCCACTCCACCCCAATCAATCCCAACTCATCAATAGGTTTGGAAGAGATAGGGGATCGAGCTCAAATAGTCTTTAAGAAAGATATGAAAATAGTTCTTCAAATCAGGATTTTCTGAAGTATTCCGCTTGGCAACAGATACTTAAACGCCTACCTTCACGGTTGTGAGGATGTCTATTTTCAACGCCACGGCGCTAACAGCTTCCACAGAATTTTCACCAGTTTGCACGGGTATCAACACATCGTCCGCCTTCAAACATAGACGACATTTTTCTTTGGTGTCCAAGGGGTCTTCAAGCAATGGTTCTTCTCCTAATTCCTCATTTTCGTGGGTCGGCGATTGAATAGACATTTTTAAATCTTTGAGCAAAATTAACTAGATAAGTGCTTGCGATTCTAACAGAGTGAGGGTGCCTTCTTAGAGCTTAATTGCAGTCGCCATGTTGATTGATGTCGCTTTATCTTGTCACCCGTTGAATACCAACAGCACACAGCATATAAATGTTCTATATCCATGATTTTACGGGAATATTTTCCTTCCAATGAAAAATTAGTATTTTATCGTATAAAAGTATCAATTGATCGTCAAAACATGACAGCTTTGGTGACGTAATGGGTCAGCCTAGTCAAGATTTTTACTTTTGCAGTTGGTGCAAGAAGAGCGAACCGGCATCGATTCGGCATCGAGCCATCTCGATCTACGATCGATTCATCACTAGCAGAAGCTTGCCAGACAAACAAAGCGACCATAAAGACGGCGGAGCGAACGGGCGTATGTTAGTGACAGGCCGATCAGCTGGACCCTGCTCACGATGAGCAACCCCATCGTGCACTTGTTCTCGACCTGCCTCACGGCATGGCTCGTGTTTTACGGAACTTTGCTCTTGGTGTTCGATTTGTGGCCATTCTTCGCTCTCAGCTTCGGCACTCTCGTCCCAGTGCTCCTCTTCGTAGCGGCTTGGTGGTTACGGATCCCGCCACCCCCGAGTGAAGTTGTCAATGAAATCCTCGGGCCAGACCCCATTCACGGAGCCGTTGAAAAAGGGGGTTATTTCATGCGTTCAGTGGCGCATCGTGGAGCCCCCTTGGATGCGCCTGAAAACAGCATCGCTGCCTTCCGCATGGTAAGTTTTCTTTGCCGGCATGTCAGTGGCGGTTGGAGGGTGGGGGTAGGGGTGGCTTCGCATTTGCAAGGAGGGAAAGGGGTGGACTTGTTGTTGGGACTGTTTTTGCAGATGGACTTAAATACTGTTGTCAGGGCGAATTTAACACTGGTCTGAAAAACTGTTCGACATTGTCTGGAACTGCCTGTCCAAAAAATCTTTAAAAATTCAAGGAATATTATTTTGTTTGAAAATCTTTCCATCTCTAGTAACAGAAGTATAAGAGAATTTATAGCATGTCGTTAATTCATATTTGTTTCAAAACTAATAAATATATCCGCTCGAAATTTTGGAATTGTTGTTGCTCCCGCGCTGCTTCTCATGAGTGTGTGATGGGATGGGGCTGCGGCGGGCGCCCTGCGGCGCCGCGGTAGGTATGCGACCAACAGCACACAAACCCATGCGAGCTATTTATGTCCGTGACTGCTGGACTGGTTGCCATCGACTCGGGACTGGCGCGCGATGTTGCCATATGCCATGACGCGTTGTCCTTGTGGGGAAGACCTCAACCTTTTGCCCGCGGTAGTGCTGATATCCACGCACGTCTCGTATGTCGCTCCATGGGGTGTGTTATAGGAAGCCCGCGGGCGCCAGCCGGAGGGAAGTACTCTTCACATGGTCGCTTTACCGGTCGACCTTGAAGTGTTATAGGCCTAGTTGCTAGTGGGATCGCTTGGAGTCTCGTTATCACGGGTTTGATAACGTGCATGGCATTGCATGCACTCCTGAGGCCAAGAATTTTTTATTTTTCGAACACGTGCGTCTTTGATCACATGGTTAGCGTCATGGTCATGAACGCCTGCGTGAGGAAGAAGCTAGAAGCGCCCTATATCACGTTGAACACTCTAGCCCATTTTTTAGGGGGGTTGGGGTCATTTTTCATCTCCAGTGAGCCGCATGGCAGGGATGGCAGATAGGCAGTTTGCCATACCATACCCCTGTGTGTAGGCAACCCACACTGCCCACCAGACCTTACTCCGCTCCTGCTGCTTTCTCACAAACTAGTCAGAGAAATCCCAGCGTATGGTAGAGGAATACAGATCGAGAATGAACATTATACTTAATCTGAGAACAGCTACATACCTTGCGACATGCTTGCGAGGGACGTGACCACATTGTGGTCGTACTCTGCTGTTTCCCCCATTCCTTATCTACCATGCTAATGCTGTGAACTGGCCTTTACAACTTTTTAAGTTAGACGAAATTATATGAAGGTTTTTTACGTTATAGTTATAAGTTGAAGCCAATAATATTTTTATTTTTTTCAGTGTGCTGCTAAAGGATGCACTGCTGTTGAATTTGACCTTGCACTGACTAAAGATGAAGTACCAGTTATCTTCCATGATTCTACCGTTGAAAGACTGACTGGTAAGGAAGGACTTGTCGGTGAAATGACATGGGAACAACTAAGCAAGTTAGATATTGCTGCAACACATCATCTGAGGTAAATATTTTATTTCAGTTGTACTATTTTCCAGCTTTTTATAAACTTTTGACGTATTTTAACCATGTATCAAAGGGCACCAAGAAAATATCCAAAACGTAACACATGAGATGTATCTAACATTCAAAATATTTTGAACTAGATTGTACCAGCATGCACAAAACTTAAAGTCTTTTACTAACGTATTCTTACATCTTTAACTTAATGAACCCCTTTAATTTTATTGTGACTTTGATCTTTAATAAAAATATAAAACCTCTCCTAGCAATCTAACATGGCGAAACGATTGACATGCTTCTGGTGTGGGTACTTTCAGTGACCAGTTCAAAGGCACACGAGTGGCGCGTCTTGAAGAAACCATCAAGGAATGTCTTGAACATGATATGCGCATGTTCATCGACCTTAAAGATAGGGACACAAAGGTAATTTCATATGAAACTCCACTTAGTGACATATTTTGAATTCTGTTCAGGACAACTTTGTGCACTGAAAAGCTGGAGAATCGCCTTTCAACGACCTTTTAAAATTAAGGTTGTTTTCATTTTTCTGTATCCAGTTTTTTACTTTTCGTTTTGTTCCAGCTTGTTAAAGTGGTTCTTGACATTTATGCAAAATTCCCAAAACTGTACAAGCGTGCTGTGGTATCTGGCTTCAATCCTATTCTAATCTATATGGTGAGTAACACTTCCCTCTCTATACTTGTCTGCATTTGTACTTGACCTCATGCATTATATATTATATAAATTAATTTTGTTTTCACCCCTTTTCAGATCAGAAGGGCTAATCCTGGTATTACTTGTTCAATGGCCTTCAGACCTTTCTGGTTCTCAGCAAACCAATATTCTGGAGAAGGGGGACCCATTCAAACTGTTCCTCATGCAGTAGGAATGCCTTTTCTGCTAAACATTCTGGACAAGATCAACTTGTGGATGGTGAACAATTTTACCTATTACTTTCTTGGATTGTCTGCTATTCTTGTTCACAGCGATATTGTTTCACTGTAAGTCTATTATTTTATTTTATATTGTTTGCTTTGTAATTTTTTTCATTGTTTTAATAGGCTTAATAACATTTCCCCATTTTTCCTGCAGCGAGGATCTACGCAGATGGAGGGAACGTCGACTGAGAGTTGTGGCATGGTCTGTTAACAAACCATTGGAAAAAAAATACTTTTCAAAAGTGTTAAAAGTTACCTACATGACAGATACCATGATTGGTGAGCCAGACAGCAAAGGTGGTGAAATTGTTGATGCTTAGATTTCTCATATACTGTGGTGAAAAGTTTTGCTCCCGAGAAAAAGACTAGCCTTGCTTTATTTAAATTTATCATGTCTTTTCTTTTTTCTTTTACTTTTCCGTTGACAATGAACTGCACATTAAGCCTATGTTTACCACTTTATTTTAATTTATTGATCTATTAGTTTACAATTTTCCTTATGGCATGGCAGCTATTGTGTAGTTTTTGCACTGCAACATGTACAGAATTTTTCCACATTCAATACAGGTTTTATGGAACTTTTTAATGTGCAATGGAGATGAAGTTGGGACCATTCATTTCAGGGATTGTTTTTTAATCTCTAATGAACTTCTATTTGTATCAAATACATTGTGTGTGCAGTGCTGATGGGAAAGTTGGTTGATACAATTGACTTGCCCATGCATGGGCAACTAAACCATCACCAATTGCTTAAGACATGTATTCCTTTTTTTAGGGTGTGGTAATGTGTTATTGCACATTTTCTACCATTAATGTATTGCCGTTTTTATTGTGTTCTAATTTTGTTAGTGTGCATTGTACCCATTGTACCAACTTACTGTATTTATTTCTGTGTTATTCATTGAATACTGTCTTGTGGACTGATCTTTATTACCTATCTACATTCAATTCAAAGCAGCTATGTTTTATGGGTTGCTGTGAAAGCTGTGATTCCATAGCAATAACAAATTTTAATAAAATGCTTTCTCACTATTACTTGATGGTTCCATTCCTCAATCCCACTCAATTTATAACAAAAAATAGTCTTTAAAAAATTGAGTATAATATGATTATTTCATAGTATTTATTAGAGATAAAAAATAGTAACATCATTGAAGTTTGAAAAATTGTAATGTGGCTAAACTTCATTGATTGGTAACCAGGTAACAATTACAATTTGACACGATGAAGAGGTGCTACTTATTACTAGGCTATAAATTTGAGACAGCTGCTTGTTGATCTATCAGCATCCAAATACATTTGTCAACGGTATAAATAAAGAATGTCTATTATAAATACTAGATCTACTAACAATAGCAAATATGGCTTTCAAATTGCTGCTACTAATAGCATGGAGATTGTTACAAATTACACATTTTCATGAGACTTTAGAGATACGTTGCATTTCATGGGAGTAGTAATCTATTGGAAACAAAGGAAAACATAACTACTTAATACTATTTAAAATGCTCAAGAATGAGCAAATAAATTATCACACTCTTGAACACACTTTGCTCTTTATTTGGATTGTTTTAGCGGCTTCTGGAGTCCAAGCCACAAAAGAAAAGCATCAGGAGAAGGATCTCTCCCTCTGAACCTTCTGAAGTTTTCTGCAGATCCACTAAGTCCTGTTAGATATAAATCACGAAACCTGCAAACAACACATGAGCATATGTATTATGGCCCACAGACCAGTCCATGGACCACATTTTAGTTATACTGTACCGCACGCAGGCGGCAGGCTTTGTCAATTGCGAGGGGCCGTAAGGCGCCTTGGTGAGTGACGATGGGCTAACGCAAACCTACTCGCACTGCTGCAAGCACACAGTATGACTACAAAATGTTCCAGGGGCTGCGGACACATGGCCACCCTGTATGTCTAACACTACAGATGTGAACTCAAGAGTTAAACAATGATGTAGCTATATCCTCACCTTTCTCCCTGAGTTCTGATGCCTTCTTTATTATCAACACCAACTTCTTCAAATGCTGTAAAAATATCAGCTGCAATAACTCTAGACCACAAGTCAGCATAGTATGATGCGCTGGCATCATTGAATATTTGATAGAAAGACATAGGTGAGTGATCTAATGGATCCTGTGGTAGGGCTGAATATCTTGGCCACAACTCATCCATCACTGATTTCCAAGGAATATCTCTAAACATGGAGAGGAACAAAAATTAACAAAAAAAAAAAAACAACATACAAACCCAGAACAGCTGGATTCAGATTTTCTTAAATGTTACATAGTTAACTTACGTAGCAAATAACTCCAAATCAAGTCTGCATTTATAAATTTCATTGCACAGACTGAATCCTGCCATATGTCTTCTTACTTTATCCAAATTATTAAGTGCTGTATCAGGTAACTTTTCCCCTGTCTCATAGTGACCAGATATCCTTTGCACAACAGATGGATTGAAAGCCCTAGGGGATGACAATTAAATGTAGTAGAAGAATGAAAAGAATCACAGAAGTTAAATAATTAAGTCAAAATGTAACTTACCAGTGTACCATAAAGTGGGCCGGCACTTCAGCTGCATCACTTTCCATGAATGAAGTACCAGCAACCTCAGCATAAGCGGATTTGCTCAAGACAACTTGGGCAGCATAGCCGAACTAAGTTAAAACCAAAGTTTCTAGTGAACCAACAAATATTACCAACAACAAGTATATGAAGGATAATAATCAACTTTTAATTACCCTTGCAAAAAGATTAACAACATTGTTGAAAGAGAGAAGGCATGGTTTTCCTGATGATGGGGGAGAAAAACTAAAAACCACACCAACCTGGGGGGATTGTCCACTCCCCACTAAGCTACGATTCCTTAACGTCAAAGCCACACCCCCAGAGTATGGCTTCTCTGGCCTAAAATAGGAAGGATATCACAGTATTAAGGTGGGAACAGTTTCTATGGTCAAATGATTCAATTACAGATACTATACCTAGCATATGGGTCCAAAAACACATGTCCACTAGGTAATGTACTGCTTTTATCAAAAACTTCAAAGACTCTAACATCTCTGTGCCATGTATTCACACCAGTCTTTTCGTGAATTTCGACACCATACAAGTCATTTAGCAGAGAGAACAGGCCATCAAGGACATTTTCCAAAGGGAAATAAGCACTTAAATAGTTTTCATCCAAGTTATAGGTTTTGTTAAGTTGCTCATGCTTCCAAAATCCAACATCCCAAAATGCCAAAGGTTTATGGAATCCACTTTGAAATGCAAATTTGTTCAAAGATTCTATCTCATGTGCTTGAGCTGGTCTTGCTGTAAAGGAGAGAAATAAAATAACACTGTGTGGTTCAAAATTTTACAACCATCAATTACTTTAAATACCTCAACCAACAAACCTTTCTCAAGAAGATGATCCAACATATTAAGGGTATTCTCCACAGAACCAGCCATTTTAGATTCCATTGCATAATCTGCATAGGATTCAAAGCCTAAAATTTTTGCTTCTCGTCTCCTAAAAATTGTGTTTCGTTACTGATTTTTGTTTTTGTTTTAAACAGTCAATTTTCAGATCAAGATCATATGTTACCAACAAACCTTGAATGACGGATCTGGTCTACTTCAGCATTTAGAACAGTCAGTTCGTTATTTAATCCAAATGTTACTCTTGAGTGCCACAATTTGTCACGCACAAGAGCATCAGGGCAGTACTCTATAAATGGTTCCATAGTCCAAAATTGTACTCCCCATGGACCTCTAGATGGATCAGGTCTAAAACCAGAAATAGATATTCTATTAAGCAAAAGCTAAGAAGTTTATTTGAGAATTCATTTATGGATATAAAATACATACCCTTCACTCATTGCTTTTAACAGATGCTGTGGGACATTTTTCATCATGTGAGGATCGCTAATTGGAAACTTAAAAAGACGAGCCTCATGCTGCAAAAAAAGAATAATAATTTAAAATGCTGCTTTGAAATGAAAAAGTTCATTACAGTTAATGATTATTGTGGTTAGTAAAATAATTTTTTACCTCTAACTTATTGTTGTAAGTAGTTTGATTTTTCAGAGTTTCTTTGCGAACAGCCATCAAAGCTTCATAATTACTATTAGATAGTTCCAAACCATTTAATTTTCCTAATAATGTATATTTCTTCAATAAGCGTTTCTGATCATCTTGTAAACTTGTACTCTGTTTTAAAGCACTCTTCAAGACAAAAATAATATGATTAGATAAACAAAAGAAAACAAGATAGGTACTGAATTGTGCAGGTAAATTTACCTTGCAACTGTAGTACAGAAGAGGACTAGAATATTTGTTATGCAGGGCTAATGCAGCTCTTGAGGCAACTTTCCCATACTTTTCAGAATTCATTAAATCAGATGATTGACGCAAAATTTTTACAACATTATAAGCATTTTCTAGGGGTCTTGATAATTCTTCTATTGGGCATAGATATTCTTGGAAAAGATCTACCTCTGACATATTTTCTTTACCTAGCAAGCAGATTATATTTTCATCATAAATTCAAAATAAATTACCTTAAGAAAGAGACAAACAGATGTACTACCTTTAATATGTTTTTCCACCCTCCAAAAGCCAGCTTCAAAGTCGAGAGCCCTTCTAACAACACCATCATAACATTTACGTACAGTGAGACCTGAATAGTCTTGAAACTCATCGGACCTTAGTAATGGATTGTCATCTGCATGTAATGGAACATCAGGTAGCCTAGAAGTAAAGATGCAATACAAGAGAGGTGAGAATTACAAATAGATCAAGAAAGAAAACAAAATATGAACCATTGCAAGCAGTAGCTGTCATTTCTCTTCCAAGACCTCTCAGAATTTTTTTCAGGAAAACACTGAAAAAATATTATTTGAAGTTATGATTGGTCCATTGATAGTTATTAAATAATATACGATCATGGTTATCAATGTTGAACAGCTAAATAGCAATGAGATTTGTAGAGGTTATAAAATTTTGCTGCACTGAGAAATTTCATAGACATGGTTTATTTGAATCAAATGTATAACGTAGCCGTATTTATCTCACAAATACTTACATAACAATGTATCCTGACTGACGACATTGAAGGAATGTTGGGTGTTGACGGTATAAAAGTCTTCGGCACGTAAGGGACAGCGCCATTTTTGGTTCGGAATAAACTTGGATTTTTCAATGTTGGCAATACAGTGTGTTGGTCTCCCTGCAGAGACTATCGCTGCCGCTCTCGATTGTTTTTGGCACGTGACATCACGTGAACATTTTCCTGAGCTGTGTGGTCGGACGGCTGACCAGCAGACAGCTTGTGAAAATGGCGACCTCAGGCAAGATCGGAGCGCAGCAAGCTGCTCGCGAACATGTTTTGGCTGTCAGCCGAGATTTTATTTCGCAACCACGATTAAGTAAGTGTAATTGGATCTTCATGTAATACATTTTTCCCGTTTGCATCGCCTAAAATCCTGCCGCACGTAGGATGCACTTTCCATGTAGGAGGGGTTGTACTCTGGGGCTCGTCTTTACAAGTGGGTCGATTCATTTCCATTGTGAATCGTGTCTTGCTATAGGATTATTATTACAATACATCTTTTTCGCTCTCTTTTGATAATGTCATAATTTCTGAAGATTTTGGGCTCTACCGTATTTGTAAGCCTTCATGTGGAAGTACAAACAACTTCTCCCACCCTGATGAGTTTTGGTAAAGTGAAGGAGTTTCATTTTTACTGCAGGAAAAAGTAATTTGGGAGCTGATAAAACTTTTCACTTGTTTTGAAATATGTATTTGTAGTGCTTCAATGATTTTTCATGGGATGTTAAGGAAACTTTGTTGGGCTTGGCACGACTGTCATTATCTTGATCTTAAGTTTGTATTTTACTTTTCACAACAGAACCTTTATCTTATTACCTCTTTTAAGTGGACAATGGTAATTCTAATCTTTCTGCAAGCTTTTAAAGTGTGTGTCAACTTTGTTCTCAACAATTTCATATTTTCTCCCATCCTCAGTTGGGTCATGTGATCAGCCATACCATAGATCAGCTGTCACATCACATGATGTAAATGCCCTCTCTAACATTTTCTTACATTTATCTAACCCAGTTGTATCTGTTCTTACTATTCCAATAATAATTCTACAGAGCACTCACATTTTCCTCCATTTTGATTTTGATTATGGAAAATGGTTACAGTTAATGTATGGAACTGTCTGACTTGGAAAGTAGCTAACCTAGTTCTCCAGCACACAATTTTGTCTCGGGCATATTTGAACATTTTTCCATTTTCTAGTCAATTTGTAATATCAGTCTCTTTTTTCCCTATCCTTTTATTTATTAATTTAATTTATTTTATTTTCTACAGCCTATAAAACAGTATCTGGTGTCAATGGACCTTTGGTGATTTTGGATGAGGTGAAATTCCCCAAGTATGCTGAAATTGTGCAACTTCGTCTTGCCGATGGCACAATTCGCTCTGGTCAAGTGCTGGAAGTTAGTGGTTCAAAAGCTGTAGTCCAGGTAAGTTCAAGTTAGAGCAACCTCCTGAACTCCCTTGCTGAAGGCAAGTTGGAAGGAAGTATGATCTAACTTTTATCATTTTTTCAGGTGTTTGAAGGTACATCGGGTATTGACGCCAAAAACACACTATGCGAGTTTACAGGCGATATTCTCCGCACTCCTGTGTCAGAGGATATGCTGGGTCGTGTTTTCAACGGCTCTGGCAAACCCATTGACAAAGGCCCACCTATATTGGCTGAAGACTATCTTGACATTGATGGTATACTTTTAATAAATTGTGTTGACACTCTCTTTAAAATCATTTTATTGTTTTAATGTTTTTCTTTTTTTCTCCTTTCATAAATTGTTAGGTCAACCCATCAACCCGTGGTCTCGTATTTATCCTGAGGAAATGATTCAAACTGGTATTTCTGCAATTGATGTGATGAATTCTATTGCTCGTGGTCAGAAGATTCCCATTTTCTCAGCCGCTGGTTTACCTCACAATGAGGTAAGAAACAATATTTTGAAATGTGTAATCTGAAATTGCTCTCTCTTTCCACCTGTCTAAAGAGAGGTATGTTTCACATTTTCTTTTCAGATTGCTGCCCAGATCTGTCGTCAGGCTGGTCTTGTCAAAGTCCCAGGCAAATCTGTGTTGGATGACTCTGATGACAACTTTGCCATTGTATTTGCTGCCATGGGTGTGAACATGGAAACAGCTCGTTTCTTCAAACAGGACTTTGAGGTTTGCCTCTTTTCTATTACCTTTTTAGCCTGACCCTACAATTTAATTAGGTAATTGACTGATTTTGATTAACTTATTCAGGAAAATGGTTCCATGGAGAATGTGTGTTTGTTCTTGAACTTAGCCAATGACCCAACCATTGAACGTATCATTACACCTCGTCTGGCTCTCACTGCTGCTGAGTTCCTTGCATACCAGTGCGAAAAACACGTACTTGTCATTCTTACTGACATGAGTTCATATGCTGAAGCTTTGCGTGAGGTAAGTATGATAATTCTGTATTGAAATAGTTTATTTACGTAGCATCTTACCTGTTATTGTTTTGTTTAGGTGTCAGCTGCCCGTGAAGAAGTGCCCGGTAGACGTGGTTTCCCTGGTTACATGTACACCGATTTGGCCACCATTTATGAAAGAGCTGGACGTGTAGAAGGAAGAAATGGCTCTATCACTCAGATTCCTATCCTTACTATGCCCAACGATGGTATGGACCCCTAGGCTTCTCTTCAGAAGTTTACTCATACTTCTTTACATACACTAACCATGATCATTTTTTTTTATTTTAGATATTACCCATCCTATTCCTGACTTGACGGGTTACATCACAGAAGGTCAGATTTACGTAGACCGACAACTTCACAACAGACAGGTGTACCCTCCAGTGAATGTGCTCCCCTCCCTGTCTCGTCTCATGAAGTCTGCTATTGGTGAGAACATGACTAGAAAGGACCATTCTGATGTCTCCAACCAGTTGGTAAGTATTTACTTATATACTATACCCTCCTTACATCTTTGAAATACAGTTGTTTAATGAAATTGTTCATGTTTAGTATGCCTGCTATGCCATTGGCAAAGATGTCCAAGCCATGAAGGCTGTGGTTGGTGAGGAAGCTTTGACACCTGATGATTTACTCTACCTTGAATTCCTTACCAAATTCGAGAAAAACTTTATTTCCCAAGGTAAAGATTTAACATGAATAAGTTATCACTATTATACAGTTAATTTTGAACTTGCATTACCTATTGTATTTCATTTCTTTCAGGTAACTATGAGAACCGCACAGTTTTTGAATCCCTGGATATTGGATGGCAGCTGCTGCGTATTTTCCCCAAAGAAATGTTGAAACGTATCCCAGCCAACGTTCTTGCTGAATTCTACCCACGAGACTCTCGCGCTAAGTAAAGATTTTCATCAACCTCATGAATTATCATTGTCTTCATATTACGCCCTGTAGTAAATTTTTTTAAAAATGTTGTCATAGCTCAAAGACATTTGAGGGCCTCAGATTGCAGTGTATTTTTAATGAAGTACTTATTTTTTGTCAATGCAATGTTCTCTTGTTTTATGAGCAAAACTGTGTGAATAGGCATACCTTTTGCGCGTTTCTTTTGTAAAGAAAGTTGTTGTTTACTTTGTGATCAAATCGGTTTTATCAGTGAAAAGAGTCCTCTTTTCCATTTTACTCTTGTGTTGTGACATACAAGTGTTTATTCATATATTTGGTGCATCTTTCATAGTTTATTGATTGTATATATGGCGGCAGATCTTAAAAGCAGATATGTTGACTATTAGGATTGATATAAACATTCCAATCTTAGGTGTGCCATAATGGGCATTAAATGTATACCCAAGCATCTGCACTCAGTTATGAAGCTGAATTTGTGTAATTTGAAAAATTTGGTTTTACTTGAAATGTTACATATAGCTTTTTCAAAGTACTGTTGCTTCACTTCTGGCGTTAAGTGTTTCAAGCATTTATAGGAGCATTATACATGGTTCTTCTACATTCAAGTGCATCTGTGCAATCATGGTAATTAAGTAAGCTTTAATAACAATAAAGACAATATCTCCAGGAAAGTATTGTGTAGGATTGTCTCTTCTTTTTAAATCCAAACAGTATTCATTACTATAATGCTGAAGTAGTCTATCATGTGTCACGATTATTGAATCTTGAAATACTCAATTTCTTGTCCATCTGTATTTTTCCCTTGTGATGTCACTGTAGCGTTCAACAATTAACATCACAAATCCTTTCTGGCTCTTCTCAAATGGAATTCTGCAAAGCAATAATTTTATATATCCCATACCTTTATTTTCTTTAAAAAATAAACCTGGGTGTACCAGTACTTATGGAATGAAATGACTGTGACATGACAACCCTCCGTCTTAATTTCAGTGCTGTGTTCAGAGTGCAACCTGCTCTTTGTCATGTTCAAATTATCTCTTAGTGTTAAGTTTTTTTTGGCTCAACCTCCTAACCATGCTTACTTTGTGTATTCTTAGTGTGCTAGTGATAAGAGAAGATTGAGGAAGTTGTACATGATGTATTATGGAAAATTAGAGACAATACATGAAAAAATATGTTCTGTTGAATTTTAATGTCTTTTATGTCAACTTCAGTCCACCGTCAAAAAAAAATCTCATTTCTTTTGAAAAATTACACATGAGTTGCATATTATATTTATTAACACATATGTACATAACTCATACATAGCTCCCTATTTACACTTCTTTTGCATAGAAAAGATGACATCTTAGTTACTTGAGTTAGTTCAACACAAGAGCATCTTTTGAATGAAAAATGAATGACTTTTTCATAGAGGTAGAAAAATAACTTAACTATTTTTTGGGGAGCCTATGTCCCAGAGGCGACGTTATTTTGCGTTGTGCAGACAGTCTGGCACCTGCTCTTGGACTGCAAGTGGGTCTCTTGAAGATATTGTGTTGAGATTCTAATTTACCAGATGAACTTGATGATTGTAAAGCAACATTAGGATGTACTACAGGTGTTCGTGGCAAATTGTGAGGAGCTGCTGGTGAATAGCATGGAACACGACGATGAATATTTACAGTTCTTTCATTTAACAGCCCTGATCCAAAAGTTGACTGAGAGCTTTGGAATGTCGAACTGTTGGATGGGCACTGAATATCACAAGTGGATCTATCTTCATGAGACGAATGTTTAGTAGGATAGGCTCTTTGCCATGGAGCTTGTGTTGGCTGAGAACTGGTAGATGATTCAGAATCGTGTTTCTGAGCTGCTTCATGAACCTGTTCACCAGAGAGTAGAGGTGGAGGTGGAGGAGATCGGGAGACATCTTGTAACCCTGTCCAGCCACTAGAGTGGCTGGAGGGAGGCAACCCTCAAATGCTCACTGAAATCAAATACCTAGTTAATTCTCTTATAATGACCAAAATTAAATTTCAATTAAAAATTGGAGTTGTTTACTTACATTCTGATTTACGTTTGCAAACTGAGAGAGCTTTCTTGATAGCTGTCCAATCTTCCAGAATATCTTCATCACTTAGCATATAAACAACATATGGACCAGAGACTGTCAAAGGTTTTCGTCGCCCTGGCAAGTCGAGTGAATTGCGCCCATTGTTATTGTTATTTGCACCTCGACCTGACTTATATCCATTTCTCCAGCCTGTTCTTCTTTGTTCATTGACCCACATTTCTGCTGAAAAATCAATATTGTTTCTGTCCTCTTCTAGCATTCGTATCTTTTCTTCCAAATCATCCTTTATTGCATCCCAAACCAATATTTTTTCACTCTGAAAAGAGAATAACCAAGAGTTTTTACTGATATTTTACAGATGAACTATAGTTAAACAAATTGATACAGGTGTCCACATACTTGGTAATTCTGCAAAGAGGCTGCTTCCTCGGCCTGAAATTTATTTCTAACATTTGTCATTCTATAATTTCGGAGTATATCATTCACTTCATTTCGGATTTTTAAGTTCTCTTCCAACTGTTCCAGGGGTTGGAGGTATTCATGGGCTCGACCAAGTTTAACTTCCCCTAATTTGGCATCAACTTGAGTGATTCGCTCTTGGTAAAGCCTATGAAAAGACAATAAAAATGAGTAAGCAATGCCAAGAGTGAGCCCTGAGGGCGAAATAAGAATGGTACGTACTGTTCTCGTAGAACATTGAACTGTCTTTCCATGTCTGCAAGACTGTCGATGCATTCATCTCGTCTCCTTTCACATTCCTCTTCATCCATTTCTGAACACAAAATAACCACATAATTAAATTAGAATAAGAAGAGAGACCCAAAATTCAAAGCAATAGAGTTAAATGGTATACCTGAGCTGTCATCTGAGTCGGATGCATCGCTGCTATCACAGGACGATGTAGACTTGTCCGACTGGTCAGATTCATGATCCATCTCCTCGCCATCGCTGTCTTCCCTCTCATCTTTAATTCCCGGCATTTTGGACAGCTTCGGGGGCTCAAGGCGTGAACAGAACCCTCCAGCAGCCTCCGCTGCCAGTCCAAAACAATCACCGCCGCTGTAGGCCGCTTTCACCTGCAACACTCCTCACAGTTGAGTTCACAGGTACGGGATGAAGCAGTAAGGTGAGCCTGGAGAGCTCGTGTCCCCGCACGAATGGAAATCACATTTACACTCACGTAAGCACTCTAAATGCGATTTTTTGACAGCTGATGTGGTGTGCGGTCCACCTCCTCCTAACCCCAACCCCAAACAACACAACACCTTCCAAATGGAAAACAAAAGCAGGCGACAGGCGACTGCCGCCATCTTTACAACTTCGATATATCGACTTGGCGTCGGTTGTCGCGTCGTAGGCGCGTAGTATGGAAATTTTCAAATCTGTGCTGCATGCTGCTTTTTAGGTGTCGATGTTGTAGTGCCGACGTGTTTTGGAAAGTGTTTATTTTAAATTCGTGCTTTATGTACAAGAGCATTTTCTTTAGTTAGTTTGAGCTAGAAGAAGACGCACCAGAAGAAGAACAGGTCAGAAATGGGATGGGAAAGACGTTCGACGAATCATGGCACCTTCTCTGCTCGTTTGATAAGCCCTCTCCAGGCTAGGCGCGTGTATTATTGTCTGTCACAGTCTGTACAGTACAGCCCCGAGTATCTAAACTGTTCAAGGGATGTCGGTGTCGGTTGCTCTTCTGCACCAGGCTCGGTTTTAAGTCCGTCTGACGGAGAGGGCGATTTGCTGTGGGTTGCCTACTTTCAGAGGTTTGTAGGGAAAATTGCCTACCTACCCTAGGGGGCGATTTCGGCTGATTTAGGGGGGGGGGTCACCCCTTCGCCCCCCCAATAAAACCGCGCCTGTTCCGCGCAATGCTCGATCGGTGGCGGGGCGTAGCGGGGCAGTGTCATCCTGTCATCCCCCGCCCGACCTGGGGCAACGACTGAGGGGCGGGGATGGAGGGTGGAGGGGATGCGAGCGGGCGCGGGGGGCATCTATAAGCACCGAGACGGGACGAGTATGAACATCCGCGCCCGCCCCCGCGGGATGGGGGACAGGCGGGGGCGGGCACGCAGTCCAGGCCCTCCACACCTTGTGCCCGTCTGCAGGTCTGCAGCTCCCCCTGTCCGGGCGAACCGGGAGAGGGGTAGGGAGGTGGAGCGGGACAGGGTTGGAACCGCGCGTTGGGTGGGCAGGGGCGGGAAAGGCGGGCGGGCGGGACGGGTCCCTGTAGGGGCGGCGGGAGGGAAGGAGCAGCCGTGGCAAGCCGAAGGGCGTCGTCGTTCAGGGGGATTCCGAGTGGGGCGCTATTGGCGGGAGAGACTGGAGTCGGGGGGGTGGGGCGGCTGGCGGCGCGGGAGCGGTGGGGGTGTGCTCTCCCTCTCCCGGAACACAGCGGGCCCCGCCTGCCAGCCCCGGCCAGGCTGCCAGGCTACGCGCCCTTAGTGCAGGGGACGGCGGGAGAGAGCGAGCACACCCCCCGAGCCCGAGCCCCACAGGGCAGGTCGCGCCTCGAGTGAGCGTGTCGGGATTGGCACCGGACCAGCGCCAGGACCAACCAGCACGCCCTGCAGCAGAGCAGCCCGCCCCGCTGGCTCGGACCCCACCGCCTCCAGCCCCTCGGCGCCCTTGGTGAGGCTTTGGCACGGCTCTGGTCGCGCACCGGCTCCCCCGCCACCATGCACCACGTGCTGGTGCCTAACCTGCACGCCGCGGGCACCGCCACCAGGCCCCGGCGAGGAGCCCCCGGCCCCCCACGGGGTCGCGGGCCCTCTCCTCGGGCTGCACCGGACGGCCGCGCCGTCGTCGTGCTCCTAGTGGCTCTGGTGGCCCTTCTGACCCACTAGCAGGCGGCCACGGCGGAGCGGAGCGAAGCACCTGCTTTTGAATGGGACTGTACCGTTTAGCCTGAGTGCTGCGCGCGCCTCCGCCCACCTCCGAGTGGCATTATGCGGAAACTGGGTTAATTCGGCGAGAGTGAGGCTGGGTGGGAATGGTTCTCGCTCGCCCCTCGCACCCTCGTGTTGGTCGCTTTCATCTCGAAGAGGGCCATGAGACCTATGTTCACCGGACCGCCGCCGGACCGGCCCCGATCCCACCGTGTCCGCAAACGGGCGGTCTGTTGGCCACGGGCCGATATTGTACTTTTATGCGTACGAGTTAAAGGAACAAGAGTAAAACGGCCCGTAACAGACCGCCCGTTTGCAGACACTATGGATCCTACTCGGCTTCCGAACTTTTCTGTCCACTAATGTTATCACTTTCTTTCCACCCCCCTTTTTTTGCCCGACTCGGTCCTCCCATTTTTACCCTGTTTTTATTGACCTTAGTGGGAGGAGCAGGCCCATGCCGGGCCAGAGGCAGGTGGGTCTGGAGAGAGCGGGCCCGGGGACCTGCCCGCAGGCCCGTGTAGGCCCGGGTCGCGCCGCGCTATGCCGCTAAGCCAGCAGCGCCACTGCCCCATTGATCCAATGGATTGTAGAAGGGACATCCCGAGCAGGCGGGAGTGCTGCGGCAGCAGCGGTAGCAGCGGAAGCTTAGGACCGCCCCCTAACTTACTAACGGTACAGGAGTCGAGCGAGTCTTCCCTTACCATGGCTTGTAGTCTCCTCTAAAAATGATTCACTTTGGCGTGAGCGACTGACAAGTGTGCGCCCGCAGCGTGGCTCGTTCGTTAGCCGCCTGTGCTTCAGCACATTTCGATTGGACATAACGCCGGTTTTCTCCAGGACAAGAACAACAACCGACAAAAACGATTCATAATCCCAAACCGGACCGCTCGACCTCGTTCAAAAAATTGTGTACCATATAGTAGTGTATTTGGACTAACGGAGGAAGAAGAAGAGCGGATAGAACATAAACGTTCACGATTGGTCGAGAGATTCCCGCCTCTACGTCACGCCGGTGGTGGGGATAAAGGCTCGATCAATCAGGAACCTCTATGTTCTACCCGCTCTTATTCTTCCCCCGTTAGTCGAAATACACTAAATGTGTCAGGCACAGCAGTACTCGCTACGTTACGCCCGTTAGGCGACATGGCGGCGCCACAGGAGTAGGCAAACCCGCAACACTGCCGTGTGTTGTTGGACTTGACGTACGGTGCGGGAGGACATTGTATTACAGCTTACCCCGTTTCCCTCCTCCCAATTCGACGGCCCGCATGTTGGTACTGATCGACCCCCCCCCCCCCCGCGCTCTGGACGCCTCTGCATGTCTTACGCGATTAAGCAGTCAAATGTCGCGTGGAATTATCGCGATAACCAGCGTGGCGTTTCGAGGTGGTGGTTTTGTTGGGGGAGAGAGGAGGGCGTGTGTGTAAAAAGGAAAGAGGGGCAGAAAGGGTCACACCCACGAGGTAGCGTGGCGGGGATATAGGATAGCGGCGCTCACGATGAGGGGGAAGGGGGGAGGCATGTTGTGGCATCTCGCCGTCAATATTGTGAGCCGCGAGCTGCACAGTCGAACCATATTGAACGAGAAAATCAATTCCACACGCGCGGGAGTGGCCGGCGCCGTGGCGAGGCGGCGGCGAACACGGCGGCGGTGGGTATATGGCGTGTGGCAGAGTCACGGACGGCTCGGCCAAGACGGAACTACTTCTGGCAGCGGGCTGGGCCGTCATCTGATGAGGCACGGTGTGTCGCCACGCGCGGCGACTCCTGCACTCTGGTCTGGAGGGATGCGGGGGAACTGGGGAACCCTGGTCTGTTGTTCTCCGAACGCTTGACCGTCACCAACTAAACCGTAGTATGCTTTCTTCTAATGGTTTCCGAGCCGTTTAATGGAGAAAACCAGTCATTCTCATACTCGTAGCAGGAAATGACAGATAGATATAAAGTTATCCAATCTCGTGATGACTCGTCCTTTCTTCTGGCTTCACTTTGGCCTGCTCTTCCTCCGCTAGGCCCCAAAGACGCCGAGACCTGCGCGCGATCACCTCGTGCAGGATGCATGATGTCGGTACTTACGTCATGGAGGCCCGGGGCCC